GGGCTTTTTTTTTTGTACCAGGGATTGAACTTGGGACCTTGCGCTTGTGAGGCAGGATGCGGAACCACTGAGCTAAATCCCTGGCCCTGAGCTTCTCTTTGTTGGTAGGTTTTTAATTACATCTTTGGTTTTATTGACTGATAGTGGTTTATTTAGAATTTTTATATTTTCTTGATTCACCATCTGCTAACTTGGGCATGGCTGTCTCCAGACACCTTGCACTGCTTCTTCCTCTGACTACAAGCACAGGGTGGTTGTGTCCTCTTCTGAGTCACAAGTAGCGTGTGGAATTGCAGAACTTTGCCTACTCATTTCCATCATTCCAGGAGCTAATTAATGAATCAATTAATTAATGGATTATCCTGTATAGTAGCTTCAAAAGTATGTAGTTGTGCATCGGGGGATCCTCCCCTTCTTCAATACTAAACTGTCTTCTCTCTCTAAGCCTATCTTCTTCATCTTCTGTAGAAACCAAGGAGGTAGATCAAATGTATCAAAAAAGTTGAATATGGGCCCACAGGAGCTGTATGCTCTTTAATCAAATGCCATTTTGGGGCTAAATCTGAGCCAGCAAGAAAAGGGCATTTCTTGTCCCGTGTGGTGGTGCACACCTGTAATTTCAGCACTGGGAGACTGAGGCAGGAGGATCGCTGTGAGTTTGAGATCAGCCTGGGCTACATAATGAGTTCCAGGTCAGTCTCAACTACATAGTGAGACCCTGTCTCAAAAAAATCAAAAAAAGAAAAGGGCATTTCTTGAGTATTAATTCAGAAAGATGTATTTTGTTTTTGTTTTTGTTTTGATATCATGAATCAAGCTCACAACCTTGCACTTGCAAGGCATGCACAGTGCCTGAGCTAAATCCCCAGCCCTTTTTTTGTTTTTTGAAGCAAAACATTTATTGGTATGCATTTTTCTTTTATTGGTAAAGAGGGGCTTTGACTGCTTGGTGTAAGTTCTCATGGGAAAACACAAGTTCAGTGTCCTGCAGCTGTGTCTCAGAGAACAACTCCCAACAGTTCTGCTGGAAACACTGCCCCTGTCGTGCACTGAGCTCACTACATAGCACCTCTCTCCCCTTTGCAGTACATGCTTCGAGTTCTATCAAACTTCTTAGCAGTATCCAAAGAGCTTTGGGTTTTTGTGGACTAGGATTGCTTTTTCTTCCCATCCCATGGGGCATGTTGAAAGTGGAAATCTTCGTGCAAGTTTTGTTCCTGGAATGACAAATGACTCATTATCCTTGTCGATGTTTATTTCAAGGAAGTTGAAAGAGATTAGTAGCACAGTTTTAGCTTCTCCTTAAAGAATTCTTTGAAGGACTTAATCCCATTTGTAAGCATCTTCTCCTAAGGGACTTCTTTGCTGCTGAGGAGTTGAGTCTCCTAGACTGATGTTTTTCTCTTTGTTTTTTTGTTTTTGTTTTGTTTTATTTTGTTTTGTTTTTTGGTACCAGGGATCATACTGAGGCCCTTGTGCTTGCAAGGCAGGCGTGGAACCACTGAGCAAAATCCCCAGCCCTAGTGTTTTTCTTTGATAGACAAACATCTGTTGGAGGTCACATCTGTGTTTTCACTATGGCTTCCTCTTTCATGACTGATAAGATTTTTTTTTTTTTGGTTTTTTGGTTTTATGAGACAGGGTCTCACTGTGTAGTTGAGACTGACCTGGAACTCACTATGTAGCCCAGGTTGGTCTTGATCTCACAGTGATCCTCCTGCCTCAGCCTCCTGAGTGCTGGGATTATAGGCATGAGCCATCACGCCTGGCTGACAAGATTCTGATATCTGTGTTTGAAGGTATTCCTCATTTTCCCCACCTTATCCATTAATTATAAGATCTTCCTTTGATCAGAAAAGCAATTCTCAAAATGAGAACCAAGACTTGTCATGTACAAGATCCCAATGATGAATGTAACTGTACTATATACCTAAAATGTACCAATAAACTCAATGAGGAAAAAAAAAAAGAAAAAGTAAAGCAATTCTCCAAAAACGTCTATGTGTGCACAAGTGCAGGGCTGCATGCAGGGGCTTGGGTTTCGGGTTGCCATCCTTTTGCCTGCTAGCCCCAGGCAGGCAGGGCAGTGGAGGGGACACTGGACACTGTCAGGCCGCAGCCCATCCGCCTCATCCAGGGCACCTGCAGCCATGCAGAACTGTCCGGTAGGGCCACCAAGAGGGCAAGCATGACTGCCCACCACTGCATCCTTTCCCCTCCCCTCTCACTGACCTCCCAGCCAGTGTGCACTCACTTCCTCCAGACACTCTGGGCACCTCAGCTCTGCTAGGAGTCCCCACCAGGTCTCCCCCTTCTCCGCTGCTTCCCCATCTTCACCCTTTCCAGTCCCCCATCCCACAAACTCTTTCATTCACTTGATCTAAAAACCATACCAAACACAGAAAATAACTTTCCACTATTAAAAGGTCTCCTGATGGGTTGATGCAATCTCTGGGAGGTGAGGTCTTTATTTTATTTTATTTTATTTTTGGTACTGGGGATTGAACTTGGGACCTTGCGCTTGCGAGGCAGGTGGCAGAACCACTGAGCTAAATCCCTGGCCCTTGATGGGGTCTTTATAGAGATCAGATCTACGGGACTTTAGAGCATGGAATAGCTTGAACAAGGTTAGCTTGATGAAACAGTATCTTTAACATACTTATATGTTTTCTCTTGCCCACAATTTAGTGACTCGTAAGAAAAAGCAAAGTGTTTTATTTTTGTAGTACTAAAGATTGAACCACGGGCCTTTATTTTGAGACGAGATTATATGTGACATGCATCACTACCCACAGCTGCAAAGCATTTTTTGAGACAAGGTCTCACTGTAGTTAATGCTGGCTTTGAACTCACTGTGTAGTTCAGGCTGGCCTGGAACTCATGTTGTTGCTCCTGCCTCAGCCTCACAGGGATCAGAGATGTATGCCACCACACCCAGCCTTTTCTTCTCTTTTTAAAAATTTTATGGTACATATACATAATGCATCTTAATTTTTTTATTACATCCCCTTCCTTTCTGGCCTTGCCCTCCCCCCAAACATACACATACACAGTTAGTGCTAGGTTCATCTTCCCATTCACCCCATAAAGAGTGAGGGGTGTGAAAGAGTTGTTTGTGCTGCCTACTTCTTGTCCAAGTGATCCTCAGTAAGTTTGAGACCTTCTTTCCACCCCAGGGATGGGGATGGACGCAGGATCTCTCATATGCTATGTGAGGGCTCTCCCACCAAGCTACACTGCAGTCCTACAGGAGATTCTTTAGGAAGTTATTAATAAAACAAGAAAGGAGAGCCCTGGTTAACAAGTTAAGGTATTTGTCCTTTCCTTTATAGACATGTCAGCTTGCTATTTGTTCTTTGTGTTCTCTAAATTTAGTGTTGGTAGGGGCCAGGGATTTAGCTCAATGGTTCCACCACCTGCCTCACGGGCGCAAGGACCGGAGTTCAATCCCCATACCAAAATTAATTAATATTGTATTGAGACAGGGTCTTTCTACGTAGTTCATACAGGCCTTGAACTCAGCCCAGGAGAGGCCAGCCTGGACTATGTAGTAAGACTGTGACTTGAATGAATGAATGAATTTTAGCAGTCATTCAGCAGTGCCATAGTTGCTAGAAAAGGTGTCTCTGGCCTTTTGGCAAAAGAAAGGCATAGGCTTGTTCCAGGATTGATTTACTTGTACATGTATATATGTGTGTGTGTGACTTTGTAGTTTACAAAGTACTGTCACATCTATTGCAATTCAGTTGTTAAAAGACAATCCTATGAGATGTGTGTTGAGTGTTAGTGCTGTTTTATAAACTGAGGCTTTGGTGATCTCATTTTATCTTCAAAACAATCTAGTAGAGCCATGTACTGGTGGCACATGCCTTTAATCCCAGCACTTGGGAGGCTGAGGCAGGAGGATTGCCACAAGTTTGAGGGCAGCCTGAACTCTGCATAGCGCAATAATCATCATCATCATCATCTAGTGCAGAAAACTTGTTCTAGTTTAAGGCCTTAGTCCTACTTAGTAGAACAGTGTAACTGATTATCTCATTTTAAAGTTGTTTTGAATTTCTATTGTAACTCAGAAATCTTCTCATAACAACTAGTTTTTCTTTGAGGGGAAAATGTCTAAACATAAGATATACTATTGGGGCTGGGGATTTAGCTCAATGGTTCTGCTGTCTGCCTTGCAAGCACAAGGTCCTGAGTTCGATCTCTGGTACCCGCTTTCCCAAAAAGATACACTATTTATCTCTGTACTGATAGATAGCTTTCTTGAGTCTCAGATGCATCTTTCCAGGTCATTTTTCTGAAGTATATTTTGAAAAATTCCTCCAGTGCAGGTAAATGCGTGATAAACTCTGTTAGTTTTTTTTTTTAATCTGAAAATGTCTTTATTTGGCCCTTTATTAAATCACTAGCGTGCCCACCCCTACACCATACATTAATAATTATTTTCTCTTTGCACTCTAGAAAATTTTCCAGTTTTAGTTGTTCTTAAGCAGTCTCCTGTCAGTTGCTTCTTTAGTTTTCCATCTTCCTATGCTTTCCCAGAAGGGTTAGAAGTACTACTGTGCAAGGCTGCCCTCCGCCTATGCACCCTCCTACACTGGAGAGGTAGGTTGAGTGCTGCCAGAACATCGTGTGCTAGAGAGATCTTACCAGCCCATTAAGTAATCGGTCTGTTTCTTCATTCATTTTCCTTGGAAGCATCAGAAATACTGGTAGAGCAGGCTGGACTGGATACTCTTAACAACTGCCCTGCTCTGGAACCCAGGCTACATGAAAGGCTAATCACGGAATGCTGCCGAAGCTATGGGTACAGTAGGCAGTTGAAACTGCTTGCCTTCTTCAGAGTGGTAATGCTTCCCAAAGCTGTTTTATGGCCTTTGCAGCTTTCTTATGTCAAACTGTCATATGAAGAAAGGTTGAGTCTCTACAACTCTTTCTTTTAATATAAAGGAGAGAGGAGTAAAGTATTACATAAAGATTTGGGGTTTTTTTCTTTGCAGAATTCATCCTGTCTTGTTCTTGCTGCCCGGCATGCCAGTGCTTCTTCCACGGTAAGGTTTTTTGTTGTTGTTTTTTTGAGACAGGGTCTCACTATGTAGTTGAGACTGACCTGGAACTCACTATGTAGCCCAGGCTGGTCTCGAACTCCCAGCGATCCTCCTGCCTCAGCCTCCCGAGGGCTGGGATTACAGGTGTGTACCACCACTCCTGGCCCAAGTAAGGTTTTTAAAAGAGACAGAATTATTGGGGCAATCTGACCTTGAGACAGAGTGTGTGGCAACTACAAGTATTTCTTACTACTGTTATTGTTAAAACAATAATTACTACTGCTATTATTTTAAGAAGCAGTTTACTCTCTGGGTGCTATATAGTGCACCTGTATAACTAGCTACTCAGGAGGCTGAGGCAAGAGGATCAAATTTGAGGCCAACCTGGGCAATTTAGTAAATCTTGTTTCTCAAAATTTTATTTTATTTAAAAAAAATATTTTTATTATTATTATTTTATTGTTGTTGTTTGTTTTTTGAGATGGGGTCTCAGTATGTAGAGACTGACCTGGAACTCACTATGTAGCCCAGGCTGGTCTTGAACTCACGGCGATCCTCCTGCCTCAGCCTCCCGAGTGCTGGTGTTACGGAAGGAGACGGCAAGTGATACAGAAAGGCAGCAGAATGGAAGTAATATAAAAAAGTTTACTCCATCGATGGGGATCAATCGCACCTAATGGAGATGCCCTGATCGACTCCTCTATTGGGCTACAGCTCTTACTTTTATAGGGTTTTACAGTTTTGATCTTACTCAGTTGGTTACATTGCATTTTCACAGATACCTAAAACATGATAGCAAGGCAGTTGAATTTTAACACACCTGGATACAGTTCTTTGTTAGGGAAGTTACCTTTTAGATTCATTCAATTGCCTACTGGGGGGGGGTGCTTGTTTAATTAACAAAACTAACAATGGTTCTTTTTACTTAACAAACTTTTGTGAGGAGCCTAGGTGTCTCCAGGTACTGGTTAATTCTGAACTAAACAGGGTGAGGGACAGAAGTTATCTTATATTGTGACATTTCCTAAATTTTCACTTATTAAGGTTTTCCCTATCACTGGGGATTACAGGTGTGTACCACCACAACCGGCTATGTTAATCATTTTTAAATGTATAGTTCAGTGGCATTAAGTACATTCTCATGTTTGTGTAACTGTCACCAACATCCATCTCCAAAACTCTTTCATGTCTCCAAATTGAATGTACCCATTAACCACTTAGCAGTTTACCCTGATCATTGCTTAGATAGGTGTCATTTCAACCAGTGGTTTCTTGTATAGAATAAATTTGATAAGATAATCATTTTTATATTTCCTATTATCTTATAAAATCAATGAAAAAATATGCAATTTTTGGTCATCCTGTATTTAAATAACTAGAATGATAAGTGGTTAAACCACAACTCCTCATATTCTCCATTTCTCATTCCCTCTTTTTTTCTTTTTTTTTTTTTTTTTTTTTTTGTAAGGTGAGGTCTCTGTATATAGCTCAGCCTGCCCTCCTCCAACCTCAGCTCCCCAAGTAGCTGTGTTATAGGCATGGTTTTCCCTGCCTAATTCTTTTACCATCATGGATATGGGACAGAGTAGTTGACCAGACTTCCCTCACAGATAATCTTCTCTTCATATACTTGCAGAACGTCTCAAACTTTTTGATAATTATTTGGCCCTTCTACTTCTCTTTCTAGAATTTGAAAGATGTATTGGCCAACTTGATACCTAAGGAACAGGCCAGAATTAAGGCCTTCAGACAGCAACATGGCAAGACTGTGGTGGGCCAAATCACTGTGGACATGGTAAGAGTTGTATGGGGTCTTGGCTGGGAAAAGCAGGCCTTGTGGTAAACTTCAAAAGTACCATTCTTGGCCGGGCATGGTGGCGCATGCCTGTAATCCTAGCACTCGGGAGGCTGAGGTAGGAGGATTGCTGTGAGTTCAAGACCAGCCTGGGCTACATAGTGAATTCCAGGTCAGTCTCAACTACATAGTGAGACTGTCTCAAAAAAAAAAGAGTTCGAGCAACTCAGGTAGTAATTCTATCACATTTTTTAGCCATTGGTTTCCTCCCTGTCTCTGTAATAAATCTCATCTGTTTACTTTTTGGGGGAGTCAGGAGGAGAGGTTAAGAGCAGAAAAAATACAGTAGAAAAGAAAACGGAAGCAGAAACATTGAAGAAAGATAGTAATTTCTCAATTTAAAAAAATTTTTCATTTCCAGCATTAGTAGTCTCTGCAAAATTCAATCATTTAGTAAATTCTCCAGAAATTTTTCTCCCCTAAGTGAAGAGAATTATGTTTTCTCTCCCAGGTTCCATGAAACGTATAAGTTCTATCCTGAATAATTCTGACTACAGGTCACACCCTCTTTTCTTTAGATGTATGGTGGCATGAGAGGCATGAAAGGACTGGTATATGAAACCTCAGTTCTTGATCCTGATGAGGTAAGACATCATCATGTCAGTTGCTAATATCATTGAAGTGTACTGGTCATACACACTGGTTTGCAAACCAAACATGCAAGACCATGGGTTAGACCGGTGGGGTACAAAGAAGAGCACAAATTACATACTTTCATATTTTGGAAGGTAGAACATAAGTTATTTGTGGGCCCAGAGTTCAGTAATAATAAGTTATATGGAATAACTGGGGGGAAAGTTTTTACCTTTTTAATATGTGAAAGTACAAAATAAAGAGTACTAAAAAGAGCTAAAGCTGGGTGCAGTGGCACACACCTGTAACTTAGCAACCTGGGAATGAGGCAGGAGGATCACTAAGGTTGAGGGCAGCCTGAACTATACAGGGAGATCCTGTCTCTAAAGGGTGTAACTCAGTAGTAGAGTTGCCCTGGGTTCCATCACCAGTGACACACACAAAAGAGCAGATGTAAATATATGAGGCTATAAGTTTTGAAAATCCTATTCTAAATGTTTGATATGAGTAGGACTTGCCAGCTAACAAACTCGAGTCTAATTCTCACTCTTCTCCCTCAAGGGCATCCGCTTCAGAGGCCATAGTATCCCTGAATGCCAAAAACTGCTGCCCAAAGCTAAGGGTGGGGAAGAACCCCTGCCTGAAGGTTTATTCTGGCTGCTGGTAACTGGACAGATCCCAACAGAAGAACAGGTAAAGTTGAAGAGATATTAGCCCTTTTATCCCCCTTTTTCTTTGCCTTTCTCTAAGACACTTAGTCCTGATCTGGCTGTAAGTGCTAGCTTATAGAAATGTGCAGTGAAGAAAAAAATCAGCAGTTCTGCTGTATAACTGGATTATGTTGAATGCTCTTGGATTTTCTTTATTCAAATGTCATTGCTCTTTCATTTTTCTTTCCTTTTCCTTATAGTGTACTGAGCAATATCTCCTTTTCCACAGGTGTCTTGGCTTTCAAAAGAGTGGGCAAAAAGAGCAGCTCTGCCTTCTCATGTGGTCACCATGCTAGACAACTTTCCTACTAATCTACATCCTATGTCTCAGCTAAGTGCAGCTATTACAGCACTCAACAGTGAAAGTAACTTTGCCCGGGCATATGCAGAGGGTATCAACCGAACCAAGTATTGGGAGGTAGGAAATTTGAATTGGCTGATTGATGTGTGATGGGGATTCAGAGGACTCAAGTGTGAAAGGAGAATGGGGAATATAGAATCTTCAGGAAGATTACTTCTGAATTATGCCAGAAACATACTTAACAGGGGCTGGGGATTTAGCTCAGTGGTTCTGGCGCCTACCTCACAAGTGCAAGGACCCAAGTTCGATCCCTGGTACCACAAAAAAAAGCAAATAAAGAAAGAAACATATTTAACAAATGTGCCAGGCATAACAGGAGGTAGCTGAGTGGCAGAAAGTGTCTTATCAAACTTGAGGACTCAGACTCAATCCACAGCACCAAAAACAGAAATAGAAAACATTTTCACTATAGGATTACTTTGTTTGTTGTTGAGATTTTAAAGGTAAAAAAACATGCTTACTGAGGTTATTGATTTGGTTATTAATATACATGTAAGAAAAAAAAATTCTGTAATCTTGCTGCAATAGAGGTATGTACGAAGGATTGTTACAGTATTAGAAAGGATGTGGCCGGGGATTTGGCTTAGTGGTTCCACCACCTACCTCGCGAGAGCAAGGGCCTGAGTTTGGGCCAGGGATTTGGCTCAGTGGTTCCTCTACCTGCCTTGCAAGCGCAAGCACCCGAATTCAATCCCCAGTACCAAAAAAAAAAAAAGAGTGAGAGAGAACTTTGAGAAATCATAAAGTTGAGTAGATACAGGTAAGGCATCTCTAAAGCCTAAGGGACTAATGCCATGAGCCACCCAAGATATCTATCAAGAGTGGAGAGGAGGTTAGTATCCTAGGAACAGGATCCCAAAGCAAATGAGCTTTCTTTTTTCTTTTCTTTTCTTTTCTTATTTTTTTTTTTTCCATTGAGTTTATTAATACTTTGTAAGTATACAGTACAGTTATATTCATCATTGGGATCTTTTACATGACAGATCTTGGTTTTCATTTTTTCCCCATACCCTTGCCCTCCACCCTCACTGATTTACAAAGGCTTTGTTTCCATTTTTTCCTTTTCTCATATTTTTTCTTTTCCCTTATTTCCTTTCCCCTACCCTTTCTACTTCCTCTACACCTTTAGCCCTTTTCTTCCTTCCTATTTCACATTGTCAGTTATACAGTTTGGATCTTACTTAAACTTCTGGTTTTTCACACCAGCTAAACTCTTCAGTCTTTACACGTGTGTCCTATTTATTTCACTTAAGAGAATGGCCTCAATATGCATCCGTTTTCCTGTGAATGACTCTTAATTTTTTATTCTTTGTGGCTGAGTAGTATTCCATTTTATAGAAAAACCACATCATCTTTATCCATTCTCCAACTGATGGGCAATTGGCCTGTTTCCAAGTTTTAGCTATTACAAACTGTGCCGCTATAAACATGGGTGCACATATATCTTGTGGTATGATTGTTTTAAGAGCTTTATTTTCTGAAAATGAAATGTGCCCTTAATAGTTTGCACTCTGGCTGAGTGGTGGCACACACTTGTGGTCCCAGCTACTTGGGAGACTGAAGCATGAAGGACCCAAGTTCAGGGACAACCTAGGTGATTTAACCCTGTCTCAAAATAAGATATAAAAGATGGGGGGATACAGTTCACTGATCAAACACTAGCCTAGTATGCATTAGGTCCTAAATTTAATCCCAGTGCTGGGAGGTGGGGTTGAACATGTGGTTGAGGTATGGTAATACTATTGTGTCTTATCCAGGTGTGTATTGCAGTACAGTACATATTTCCTTCCATTCTCTTCCAATTCCCTACATACTCACAAACACTGGGTAAAGTACAAATTATGTAGCTAGGTTTATCCCATTTTGTTTAGTTTCTTATTTGGAGAGAGCTAATGTAGAGACAGCAAAATTCCTTTTCACAAAACAGCTACACTAAGTGATTTTTCCCCAAGGACTACGGATTTATCCCAGAGGCACTATCATTGAGGTTCATCCCTAGCCTTTGTTTTGTACTGGGGATCAAACTTGTGTCCTTGCACTTATGAGGCAGGCGGCGGAACCACTGAGCTAAATTCCTGGCCCTTGTTTGTTTGTTTGTTTTTGAGACAGGGTCTCATTGTATAGTTCAGTCTGGCTTCAGCTCTCTGCGAAGCCCAGGCTGGCCTTAAACTTATGGCAGTTCTCCTGCTTCAGCCTCCGAAGTTCAAGATTACAGCATATGCCACCATGCCCAATTACCCATAGCCCTAGTTATTTATTTATTCATTCCTTGGGTACCAGCATTGAATATGGGGCCTCTGCACTTAGCTATATCCCCAATTTTTTGAGACAAGGTCTCAGTTGCTAGGTTGCTAGGCTGGGCTCGGACCCAGAGTAATGGAAGTACAAGCATATGCCACCACACCTGGGTATATATTTTGAAACATGATCTTGCTAAATTGCCCTGACTGACCTCAAATTTAAAATTCTTTTGCCTCAGAGGACAAGTATGTAGCTCAGTGGTGCTGTGTCTGCCTGGCAAGCACAAGGTCCTGAGTTTGGTCCCCAGTACCAGGAAAAAACATTCTTTTGCCTCAGCCTCTTGAATAGCTGGCATTAGGGTCATGTACCAAAGCACCAGGCACACTAGATGTTTTTTGTTTGTTTGTTTTGGGGTTTGTTTGTTTGTTTGTTTTTTTGTACCAGGGATCGAACTCAGGTCCTTGTGCTTACAAGGCTGGCCACCAAACCACTGAGCTAAATCCCCAGCCCCTACTAGATGGTTTTTGACTTGAGATGTCAACCACCAGAAGGCCTTGAAACATTCATTATGATGCAAGACTCTGAATAACATGATACTCTGATCTCATGAAACCCTTTTAGGACCTGGCAAATCTGCTTTATTTGATTGGTCAATATTTATTTGCTGACTCTGTAGAGAAATTTGTTTAGCTGGGCATGGTGATACATGTCTTTAGTCCCAGCTACTCAGGAGGCTGAGGCAGGAGGGTCACTTGAGCTCAGCAGTTTGAGACCAAGACCCCCCCCTCTCAAAAACAAAATAGAGGGCTGGGGATTTAGCTCAGTGGTTCCACCGCCTGCCTGGCAAGCATGAGGTCCCGAGTTTAATTCCCAGTACCCCCAAAAAATAAAAATGGAGGGCTGGGTATTTAGCTCAGTGGCACCGCACCTGCCTTGCAAGTGCAGGGTCCCGAGTTCCATCCCCTGCACCAAAAAAAAAAAAAAAAGAATTTTGTTTTCTATTGCGGGAGAAAACAAAGGAGGGTTTAAAATTGATACTAATCTTGTTGGCATGGGGGAGACTTACAGAATGATAAAGACATGCACAACTTAAAGTTTGTGTTTTTGTTTTGCAGTACTGGAGATTGAACCCAGGGCCTTTGCACTGAACTATATCTCCAGGTCTCTAAATTTTAAAATTTTTCATTCATCTATTTTTTGTTACTAGGACTGAAACCCGGGGGCAGTCTACCACTGAGTTATAATCCCAGCCCTTTTTGTTTATTTTTTTTGGTACTGGGGATCAGAATCAGGACCTTTCCTTTGCAAGGCAGGCATGGTGCCACTAAGCTAAATGCTCGGTGTACCAGCCCTTTTTAAATAGTCTTGCTGAATAGCTAAATTGCCCAGACTTCAGGCTGTGTTTGAGCTTGGATTTTCATTCTCCTGCCTTAACCTCCTAAGGTGCTGAAATTATAGGCATGCACTACCAGTTAATTTAGAGTATTTAAAAAGCTGCACATCAGCTGGTCATGGAGGTACACACCAGTAATCCCAGCACTCTGGGGGGCTGAGGCAAGAGGACGGTGAGTTTTGAGCCCAGCCCGAGTGATTTATCAAGATCCTATCTCAAAATTTGTAAAGGCCTGGGGAGGGGGAGAAGGCCTGAAGAGATAGTTCAGTGCAGAGGACCTGGATTCACACTCCAGTACAGCAAAGATAGATAGATGGATAGATGGACGGGGGCATGGGATTTGGGGTGGGTTACATAGCAACATGGGTAATAAGTCATATAACCTATATTTTCATTTTCTTTTTAAAATGTTGTACAAGTAATTATCTGTGTAGGACTCCATAACAGAAAACATCAAATTAAGCAGTTTTTCTGCTCTGAAATTCATCTTTTAGAAAATGACTGCTTAATGCTGTGGTGATGTATACCTATAACCCCAATGCTCTGGGCAGAAAGATGAAAAATTCATTCCAACTTAAGCAATTTAGCTACTTAGACCCTGTCTCAAAATGGCTCAGTACAAAGATCCTGGGTTCAATCCCCAGTGCTGCTATTTTAAAAAAAAACTAAAAAATTTTAGTCTGACCTTTGTATATTACTGAATTTTCTTTGGAAAACTAAACATAAAAATAAAACCTTGTGTCTTAGCACATTCATTTAGTGTAAAGTCATGATAGTGGGAAAGATTTGACATCCAGCTGAATATTGTGAGTCTCAGTTCTCTAATCTATAAATGGTGGTTATATATTGAGTGGGATGGATAAAAATTGAGAATAATGTTTTTAGTGTTGGGCCTGGGAGTACAGGCCTATAATCCTAGTACTTGGGAGGCTGAGGCAGGAGGATTACTGCAAGTTCAAGGCCAGGCTGAACTACACAGCAAGACCCTGACTCAAAAAAAAGATAGAATGATGTTTTAGTGCACATGACTTACTATTATAATTCAAGCATGATGGCATACACATGTAATCCCTGCACTGACATTGAAGCAGGACGACTGCCATGATTTTAAGGCCAGCCTGGACTACATAGTAAGTTGAAGGCTAGCCTAAATTACATAGCAAAATTACATACTCTGTTGTGGGGGAGGTTGACACTATAACTCATTAAATGAAGTGCCTGGGTCATAACAGTTTATTTGGTAAATGGTTATTTTTGTTACTCCATCCCTTGAAACATAACACAAATAGCCCAATCTATGGAGAACAAACCATATCCCTGCCTAATTCTTTGCTGGTAATTCCTTTTTTTTCTCCATCTTCCTTTTCTGTCATCAGTTGATTTATGAAGACTGTATGGATCTGATTGCAAAGCTACCTTGTATTGCAGCAAAGATCTACCGGAATCTTTACCGCGAGGGCAGTAGTATTGGGGCCATTGACTCTAAGCTGGACTGGTCCCACAATTTCACCAACATGTTAGGCTATACTGATGCTCAGTTCACGGAACTCATGCGCTTATACCTCACTATCCACAGGTGAGCCAGCCCCAGCAGCCATAGCCATGGGTGCCTTGATTATAGGAAACTTTTTTTTTTAAGTTCTAATAATTCTATCTCCTGGGAGCAGATGATATGCAGCAAAGAAATGGAAATATGTTTAAGGGATACTACAAGGCAAAAAAGGATCTAGTGCCGGGCATGGTGGCCCACCTGTGTCAGAAAGGCAGTGAGGGAGTCTAGTAAGGAAGATCAAGCGGCCTAGGGGGAACCATGCCAAGAACTAGAGGGTGCTGGGTAAAGGAACTCGCAAGCTTTATTTATTATTTTGGTTTTTTTGAGACAGAGTTTTGCTGTGTAGTTCAGGCAGGCCTTGAACTCACTATGTTGACCAGGCTGACCTCTAACTTGTGGCAGTCTTCCTGCCTTAACTTCCTGAGTGCTGGGATTACAGGTGTGTGCCACTGCCCAGGGCAGGAATTCAAGCCTTAGATTGCCCTTCAGCTTTGCAGGTCCTCCCTCTTGTGGCCATTCTTATTAAAGCTGGGGATAGGGATGTGGGAATGTAGCTATGATTGAGCATTTGCCCAAGCTTGTGCAAGGCCCTGGGCTCAGTTCCCAGCAATGAAGGTGGGTGGGGTTGGGTGGGAGTTCCAAGCATCAGCTGGCAATTTCTTCAGCTCTGTTGACTGGTGAACAAAAGTGAGTAATATGGGACCAGGGATTTAGCTCAGTGATTCCGCTACCTACTTCGCAAGCGCAAGGTCCCTAGTTCTATCACCAGTACCAAAAAAAAAAGTGAATAATGACAGCTACGTGTAACTGACTGGCTGTAGACCAGTGTAAGCTCATAACTAGGCTAGGATGTGACAAAAGAATAGCAAGGTCTGTTACTATATATCTGCCCTTCCTCTCTCCCTTACTTCTCCACAGTGACCATGAGGGTGGCAATGTAAGTGCCCATACCAGCCACTTGGTGGGCAGTGCCCTTTCAGACCCTTACCTGTCATTTGCAGCAGCCATGAATGGGCTGGCAGGGCCTCTACATGGACTGGCAAATCAGGTAAGGCTGTTCTTTTTTTCATGCTCCTTGTTTTTCTTATCCCATGCTTTGCTCCTGAACTTGGCATTCTCTGGCATATGTATTGACATTCTTTTTTCCCCCAAACATTACCCTAGGAAGTACTTGTCTGGTTAACACAACTACAAAAGGAAGTCGGCAAAAATGTGTCGGATGAGAAGTTACGAGACTACATCTGGAACACACTCAACTCAGGACGGGTAAGTAGAAATGCTTAACTACTAGAAAAGTAGTCAATATCCAAGTCCTGCAGTTTGAAAGAGTTAAAAAGAAAAAAAGTGAGAATTGTGGGAGACGAAACACAAAAGAAAAAAATGAGAGAGGTTCCTAAATTAGACAAGGAAATTTTTTTCACGTTTGTCTACCCTAAAAAATACAGAAAAAAATTCCACCTGTGAATATCAGTTGTCTTTTCTCAATGCTCCTTTATAGGTTGTCCCAGGCTATGGCCATGCAGTACTAAGGAAGACTGATCCACGATATTCCTGTCAGCGAGAGTTTGCTCTGAAACACCTGCCCAATGACCCCATGTTTAAGCTGGTTGCTCAGCTGTATAAGATTGTGCCCAATATTCTCCTAGAGCAGGGAAAGGCCAAGAATCCTTGGCCCAATGTAGATGCTCACAGTGGGGTGCTGCTTCAGGTAAGTCTTCCCTTCCCTGCTTTTCCTTGTATTTGTGCCATACTCTGCTATTCCTTTTTTGGTAACAGGGATCAAACTTGGGTCCTTGTGCTTGCAAGGCAGGTGTTGGAGCCACTAAGCTAAATCACTGGCTCTATATCCTGCTGTTCTTGGCCATGAATAAAAGCGACTCCCTAGTCAGTTTTGTTTTGTTTGTACAGGAGATTGGAGCCAGGGCCTTCACGCTGAGTGAAGTCCTTTTTGTATTTTTTACTAAAACGGGTCACTAAATTGCCCAGGCTTAGTGGACTCAAACTTGTGATCCACCTGCCTCAGCCTGTTGGGTTTACAGGCTTGCACAGCCATGCTGGGACTCTTGTACCCCCTCCACCTAGCCTTTTGATAAAGTTGCCCATAGTGGAAGTCTGGGCCTGGGATTGCTGTCTTTTCAGAATCCCAATTATACTTTTCCCAGTATCATTCTTACTTAGGCCTGACAGGGAGAAGTCCCGGTGAAAAAGGGGGAATGGAAGGTTCCTTTCACCCTAGACTTGTGTGTGCCATTCCCTCTGTGCCTTTAACAAAACCTTTTTTTCTCTTCTACCTTACAGTACTACGGCATGACAGAGATGAATTATTACACAGTCCTGTTTGGAGTGTCACGGGCACTGGGTGTGCTAGCACAACTCATCTGGAGCCGAGCCTTAGCTTTCCCTCTAGAAAGGCCTAAATCCATGAGCACAGATGGTTTGATGAAGTTTGTGGACTCTAAGTCAGGGTAAAACTTGGAGACTGGGGGGAAACTGACTACCAGAAGATAAGGAAACTTAATAACAACAAAAAGTAATATACTTTTGTTTCAGGGGGCCTTTAAAGGCAAGATTAAATTGTATCTGAGGCAGTGAAAATAAGTTTGAAGTTAAAATATAAATTAAGACTTTAACAGATAAAAAGTGATCCCTTCTTCTTAACCAGCTCCCTTCCCCTGCCTGGGATGAGTTACCCATCAGCCGTAGGATGACCAGGACTAATGCATGTGATGTGGGTTAGGTTTGGCCCCCACCATTACTGAAATAAAAATCTGGCTCCTCTTTCTCTGGGTCAAAGCAGGTTACAGACAATCTGCAGTCATTCTGGAGTTTTTGCTTCTACTCTGCCCAGACCTATAGGCTAGGAAACCAGGACCTTAACCCTGCTGTTTCCATAAAGATCATTTGGGATTATCAGCTCTACCAAGCCCTATCCTGTGCACATAGACATCGCCTAGTAAGACCTGCTGGGTAGCTGGACATACTTCCACAGTTTTTCGTTTTATGCTACCAAGTGACCATGAAGGCATGGCATTTGTTGTGATTGGCACCCAGTCTTTCATTTGATTTTCTTTTTAAAGTTATCCGTTAAAATTAAGACCTGGAAGTGTTCTGTTTCCCACTACTTTAATACCTCTTTCCAGACTTGGTATACCTATTCTGCCTCAAGCTGAGGATCCCTAGATCTTCCCCTCTTGGTCCTTACCAAAAGGCCTGTTTCAGTAGGTCTGTCCGATCTGTGGTCATTCCCAGTCACTGGGATTTAACAGCACTTAATGTGAACTAAGCTTTTTACTTCAGCAGAACTCAAGCCACTACTGTCTGACCTTTTTCATGTTAATATGCTATGGGCATAGAACAGGGGCTCAGGTATGACTAGCCCATTTATGGTCTGGTCCCAGAGGTATAAGTATTTCCTTTAGAGCAGAAATGATTCAAGATTAAATATGGTCGGACTGGGGATTTAGCTCAGTGGTTTGACACCTGCCTTGTAAGCAGAAGGTCCCAAATTTGATCCCTGGTACCCAATATATATATGTATGGTCTCCTTTGAATATCAGGTCTATGGGCTGGGGACAGTCAATGTAGTAAGCCTCCCTTCTCATCCCCTGCCACAGAAAATGCTCCCTTATTTATCAATGTCTTTTTCCTGCCCCTTCCCCAAGAGCTCACAATACAGTGTGTTTTAGAAGCCCCATTTGCACAGGTTTTCAGTGACTCAGAATGCTCTACTGCCTTTTCTTTGAGAAAGGATTGAGAAACACTCCTGCTGTGCCCTGTGCTTCCCTTGATGCTCCTGCCTGCGTTTGTGTGGCTCCCCAAACCCCAGAACCACCCTGTTGAGATGGACACACTGTAAACCCCTGGGTAACTGTCAAATCATTATGCAGACTTCAGGTTGTTCTGTATAAAATAAAAAAAAAATGTTTTTATTAACTGCTTGAGCCTGCTATTAAATAAGGCCTGGAAAAAATCTTTATTATGAGATAAGGAATGTACATAGTGAGGTCCTGAACCTGCTTAACAGGTATAAGTCAATCCTGTGTATCCTTTTATCCTAAGGCAGATTTGTCATTCAGGGGAAAGGCTCCTTTTGAGGTTCCCAAAGGAGATTTCTGCTTTTCCCCAAGGTTAGGAAGTTCTTTACCTTTTGCCTTCATCCTTCTTAATTTTGTTATAATGTTGAACACTCACAGAGCATAACTGAGACTTCACAACTGCTTCATGACTAATCCAAGAACTGGCAGAGCCTATAATAGGTGAAAGGAGCAAATCCTACTGAGAACAAAAGGACTGGGAGTGCTAGCTTAGGGCCTGAACACTAGAGGGCTCTGGGATGCCCAGGAATATCTACTTTCGCAGCTTGCCATAGTAAGGAGGCCTCAAAGATGACAAAGGGTGGTCCTGATAGCACCAGATATATAGGAGGTCTGAGACCAGATGATTCTGTCCTGAGACTTCAGCTGCAAGTGACCTTCTGGAAAAGTCTATAAATAGGCAAGGAGGTGGGTACTAGGTCCTGGCGTGTAGAATGCTACTATAGTTAGCAGGGACACTGTGTCCAAGAGGCTTTCTTAAACCTTTACACCTCCAGAGGAAAAAAAAAAGGTTTCTGCATAGAAACCTTATACCTCCTATATCTATATTATTCTCCCAAGAAACAATACAAACAGGCAAATTCACACTGTCACAATTTATTGGAATTTTATAAAAATTTAGGCCAGGTAGAAGAATACAAAGACAACTCTGTTTAGTGTTTTTCTTTGGCCCTGTGGCACTTGATACAGTAAAACAGTTACTCTACTCAGCAGCAGCACAAAAATACTGTTTCCTGTTTTTGTTTTGTTTTGTTTTAGGACAGGATCTCACTGTGTAGTCCAGGCCAGCCTTGGACTCACTATATAGCCCAGCCTGATCTCACACTAGTGATGTTCCTGCCTCAGCCTCCTGAGTGCTGGGATTAGAGGAGTGTACCTGCACACCCGGCTTAGAAATATTGTACAGCTTGGAGATGTTGTTGAACTGAGACAAAGTGGATTCCAAGCTGAAGGCAAGTTGTGTTTTTTCCTGTAGAGTCTCAAGGCAAAAGTTATTTAGTACCCATTATCTCTGTGCCAGAGGAAAAGCTCAAATTTATTCAGGAGTTCAAGAAGTTATTCTTTTCCCAGTCAGATACTAAGGTATCCTGACAGGGCCCAGAGACAACCACACAGTGTGAACAGACTGCAAATATACTGGACTTCTAGAATAAACCTGACTCTTTCATAGGCATGTGTTGTTTCCATAACCTCTGTCTTTCCCCAGCATTTCCAGCCAGTGCAGGGCCTAATTTCTGGGGAATTAAGAGGAACAGTGTTACAGACTCCTCTCAGAGTAGGAGCCAAACCAAATAAATAAGAGAATTGGGTTGGAAGGGGAGTGAGTCAGAGGCTAGGGAACAGTCCCATCCCTTGCCTCAAGTCTGGTGCACCTCATGGAACATCAGTTCACGAGGGATGGCTGTTTCTGGACCAAACTTGGTGGCTGCCCGGCGCTCGAAAGCAGCAACATTCTGTTTGACAACCTCATCAAAAAACATGGTGGCCAGCTGGGAGTGCAGCAAAGAGCGAAATTCAAAGGAAATCTGGGAAAGCGTAAGAAATAGTCAGTAACTCTTCAAGGCTACGTCAGATAGTCCCTGGCTAACTGCAGAGACTGTTCTCCTGCCTTTTCTCCCCAGCCCACTCCAGTTTCTTACCACCTGCAGAGGCCTAACTTAGTACTGAACATAATACAAACTCAAACCTGTATAAACCAAGCATTGGAAAATACTTAGTGGATGAAGATAGATTGATTTTTTTTTTTTTTTTTTTTTTTTTTTTTTTTCAAAACAAG